CCACAAAACTGAGCAAATGCAGGACAACAACAAGATCAGATGCATGATCAAATACAGTTACAATTACCACATACGACAATACCGAAGCCATTAAAATGTCCCTCCGTAACAAGACGGGGACACTAGCGTCGCAGCCACTGCTGGACAAGCAAGTATGTAGTCGGTAGTGACGAGGTCGTACTTAAACACCACAGCATATTATAGAAATCCAGTCGATGAAATTCGAAACTACAGACATCTTCAATTTTCTGGTGCAATTAGAAATCACGAGAGGTAATTCCGCAGAGGGCATGATCGCAAGCTTTTCCCTGAGCAGTGCACCTAGCTTATATCCTAGACAAAAACAATGTCTTTCTTGGTTAGGAGTTTCAACCCTGAAAATATTTCACTCGTGAGAATGTCGTATTTAAAATATTTTTCAATGTAATATTTAATAATTATTCAAATGTTTTAATTATATATATATATATGTATATATGTATATATATCTATATTATGAATTAATGTTATATATTCTGATTAATGAATAAAACCTGCAAGATTTAACCAGAAAAATAAAGAAAAAATTGAATTGAATTTTAATGTAGTTTTCATCCTAACGCGACCATGGGTTGCAAGATGCAAACTTCTTCCGGCGTATTTGCCGCATATTCTGACAAATTGTAAATCTAAGCTACTTATTTACACATCCAACCATACGCCTGTCGCTCGGCCACCCGGCTTCTCTACCGTCAACGACTAACTAGCATCGTTACGCTTTGAGCACATTGACTTGCTGTATCCATATGATGCACCGATTATGAGGCCACGACATGGATATAAGCCTCAGTATTGAGAAACCTTATTACGATGTAATTGAGACTTACAGGGTACGAGTTGAGTACATTCATTAATGGAGGAAAGACCCCGATTTAAGACGTATAAGCGGATTGCCAGGATGCACTAGAAAGATTTTGCCAATTACTATTTACTTTCTCCGTAGTGATCACAGATTGTGCTCGTTGGCTAACTGTGTCATTAATGCTTCTTAGTTCATGCTCGTGCTGCATGGTGCGCGTTTTAGCTGTTTGTGTCATTCGATCTTTTGTCGATCAGAAACCTATTTTGGAGCTGAAATAGAACTTTCCCTGCTTGATTCGGGCTTTTTCCTTAGCAACAAATGTTATGTGGTTTTGTTCTCATTGCGCTGCCGGTTGGTTTACACTGCGGGAGTTTGGTCAGACTGTCAGGAATGATGGGATGCCTTATAGACTTCTTTGATACGTGGTATTCTCGGTACGAAACACAAAATTATCTATTCAAATATGGGCGACTACACATGAACAGACAGACAAAAAAAAACCACCGGTAATTATGTTTTCGACATCTTTTTCGTATCGAAAATAAGGCCCCCCCGGTAATTCTAAATGCAACGCAATTGCGCTTTCGACAAATAAATGACAACTCACCGGCTATGTTATTTAGTAAATCATGCTAAAATTTCGCTTGCTAAATTTGAAATCCCTGCATTATTATGTCCATAAGCAGTTTGTCATATTTGCAATTATGATTTTGTTTCCGAGGAGGAAAGTAAGACCAGTGTTGAGCGACTCTGTCGCACTGACACTACAAGAATATTTGGTTGACTTGGCTTTGCATAGTGTAGGTATTCGGCTTGGGCTGACCGTCCCAGCGTACACGTACGAATAAAGAGATGCATCATGCCAACTGTTAGATTTCTGAATATATGCGAATGTTCGACAGTATAACCGTACGAACGTAACGAAATATACCGCGCCTTGTTGCTTTAGTCATTATAATAACAATTATGAAATAAAAATATATCGCGGTGGTCTTGATTTCGTGTATTTATCTGTATTGTGGTGAAGCGCTTGACTAAGCGTTGCACTTCGATCAATTTTGCACGCAATTTCTTTTTTCCAGTAATCTACCGATCATTCCATAATGCGGAAAATATTTGTTTAATAGATTTCTATTGGGCTACACATCGAAAACAACTATTTGCACATGCATAGTATTAAATTCGGCCGCGTAAACGTAGATATTTTGTCATGGAAATGGCACAGTTACTGGAACTGAATATAATTGCTGGTCGTACTTAGGTCGATTACATGTGAGCTATCTATTGCAAGAATCTAAAGCATAATATAGGCCTAATGCTGATAATATTTTCTATGGGAGAAATCCTGGGAATCCATTGATGATATTGATCATGGATATTAATAATTACGGCCTCGTTGTCAAGGCGTTGTAACTATAGCGGAAATGCTATAGGATCATATTGTTTACAGCACACTTTGAAGGTTTCTAAAGATGAAGATCGAAAGACATCTAAAAACTTCAAGACTTTTAACGTGTAATTAGCGCATCTATTCGTCTAGTAATATATGCAAGGATCAAATTTCTTTTGTGACCAGCGTGGCCGGGCGGAACATCGTGTGCTGCGAGGTCGAACGGAAATGTAAACAGAGTGTACTAACGACGCGCGCAGCATTGCGATATATACAGATATTTGTCGCCAAAAAATATGCCTGAATGTGTTCACTCTCGTACATGAACATGGTAAGGTCGCATATCCAAAACGTAGCGGCCATTGAGCGTCTTCCACTTTGCTAACAAGCACGTCACCCACGCAGGTAGGAATAAAGAGCAATGTTATACGTCGTTCAACACAGCGGCCTGTTCACGAGATCACTTTATTTGCATACGCATGCACGTAGCAACGCAAGCAATATGTCAACTACTGTTGACTGAGAGTAATCGAGCTGTAGCATAGCGTGCACAATGACAGAAAGGTGGGCATACATCAGTATGCCTCCGCAAATTGTTCACCGTTGCACTATTTGGTCTCTAGAAAAGGCATTTTTGGCAGTTTTTTCCGGTGAAATTCGGCACTAGAGTCCCGGGCCCCCCACTCCGAGGTCGGAGGGACCGTATGCGCGTTCCCAAAATCTCCGGTAAAGGGGTATTTTTCGCGCGACAAAATCCGGCCCAAGAATTGTAAAAAAGGGAGTGTATTTAACTTTTTACCCGGAGATTTCTTTAAAAAAGGGGTGTTTTTCCCTCTTTCTCTTTCATCTTGAATATCATAGAAAACTTTATCAAATCCCGGGATCAAATTCCTAAAATTCCTTTTGAAAGCTCATTCAGGATTATTTCATTTTGAAAAGTAAAAATATTGCCCCCTAGTTCCCGATTAGGAGCAGTGTTCCGGATTTAAGGGGGTCTCCAAGGCAGAAAAAAACCGCAAAAAGCCCGCGAAAGGGGGGTTCAGAAATCTCGGCAGTCCTGAGATAGGTGGTGCTTTCAAAGGGAGGGAACGAGCATATGCCGTACCCTAAATAACACTGAGTAGGGGGCCCGGGACTAGAGTGCAATAATTTGCATTATGCACGCAAGTTAGATAGCCGAGCTCGTACAGCTCGCGCCTTACGTCGGATAGGTCGTTGCTTCGAAATTCGAATCCCATCTGTTTATTTTTTATTTTTCTCATTTTTTAATTTTTCTGTTTAGGGTTAGGTTACGATTAGGGTTAGGGTTAGGGTTAGGGTTAGGGTTAGGGTTAGGGTTAGGATGACATACGTATACATGACATACATTTTGTACACATGTGTATTATGGACCCGAGCGATCTCGATGTTGCGCCCTACTACCGTTCGGCTATTTCTCCCCGGTACACGATGAGCCAAAGCGAGAGCGCCATCTGTCGTGGAGTTTATGCGGAACCATCGGCTGGCATTACCAGCATCTATCCCGCGACATCGAATCGAGTGTCTTGGGAGGTGGCAGCTTGAAGATTCAATTGCCCGCTGGTCGAGTATTATCTGCATCATCTTCCAGTATGGAACCGCGGCAGCAGTGAGACCAGACATGGGCGCGATTGAAGAAAAGATGATATGCGTATATCTACGCGTGTTTACACGGTGTATATAGTTTGTACTCCGCGTCATAACTAGCTTATTAACGATATTGCCAGGAAGTAATTAATTAAGATGTAAATATCTATTTGCACTGAATTCTCATCTCTGTGTAATCTGTGCATTTGATTGACTGTGAATCCAACAAGTGTTCACATGTGACATCACTCTTGCGGCATAGGCAGGAAGGAAGTCAACCAATGATGGATTTCGTCGCTGTCGGTATATTGCCGGTAGTATTCGTATTAGGTTAGTTGAGCCGAATCGTATAATAAGTCTCTAGAGATACACGATAGTGTGATGGTTTCAGCCAGCGTTTACACATCAAAGTGTGATCAAAATAATGGCTTCATCGATCTACATTATTGTCGGGTGGGTTTGTATGTTACTACTATACATTATACTTTGTACATGTTCTATTTGGCTGCATTGTGCGCAAAATCTTCGGCACGCACTGCGAGCACAATAGTAATATAAAAATTACTATAGATTTCATAAGTAGCGAGAGATGTAATTTTACTTATAATGGGATTTATGGATACAAATTATTCAACGATCGAATTTATATTCGTTTTTCTACGCGGTAACTACATGCATTTATATCACGCCACATCCTCGTATGGATTTAGCAAATTTGCTACGTGGCTCGTTGCGTCGTAAATGGAGCAATTTAGGCTGCGATCGGATTATTTAATCATGCCTCGCCATATTCGCTATTATGCCACAATTTATCACTGCTGGGTATATACTGTTCTGAGAAAATGATAACGTATGGAAATGAATTCCCCGTCGGTATGATATATATATTTTACGCTATAGCCACAATACTATCGGGCAATGTTTAAAGGAGACAGGCTAACGGCCCCTCGTGTGGAGTGGTACATTCGCACACAGGCATGCATATGCACGCAAATACCCACATGTACTTGCCTACGTACACACCAACGTACACGTATCCATTCGCAGCAGAGCGATGGCGTTCAGCTTAAGATTCAGCTTGTCATTAAGTTATTGATTTATTGCTTACGCGTGTGTGTTCTTAATTTTAATTAATGTACCATCAAACATCGGCAATGACAAGTTCCATTAATATTTATTCATATATGATCCTGAAATTATGCTCAGTATAATACATCCGTGCTATATATGTTAGCTTAAAAACAGATAAACATTACACCCAAACATTATGAACATTATTATAACAAATTAAATTTCTGCTTTTACTATTTAACTAGCCGCGTCTATTATTAGTACCACTCGTAGTCTACTAAGTATAGGCTAAGTGACAGTCGCTGTTATTCATATAATGTTAGGTACAAAGCCTCATTATAGAAGAACGAAGTATACATGCATTTATACACAATGATTTCTCTCGACTTTCCTCTTTTGTGGTGCAATGCTGAATGTTTACCAAGCAAAATACGGCAGGAATATTTATAGAATCGCCATCATCGTCGCTTACACTATATAGATTACAACCCTACGATACTAATTCACTATGCCGTGCTCTGACTCCTGACTTTCACATTAGTTCTCGTCTGCATTTTTAAGCGTTACTTTGCCTTCGTTTACGTGATAGACGGCCTTGTTCGGCTTTATGATCTCCTCGTCGCAGCATGCCCCTGGCTGCAGAAGGCTATGGTTTGGTTGCGGGGAGCTGCCATTGCACGCAGTTGTCTGTATATAGGTGGAGTTTGATCTCCGGTCGCGTTGGCCGTCGTTCGTCGAAAAGCACGGCAGCACGTCCTTGAACTCCTTACGGAAGTTCTCGTTCAGCCACGAGTAGAGCAGCGGGTTGTAGCAGGTCTGGCTCATCGCGAGCATGTGCCACACTAGAAACACGATGAGAAAGTAGCGCCACTGGGTGAACGGTTCGCCGAGCGCGAACATGAGGAGATGTATCATGTCGAGCGGAAGCCAGCACACTCCGAACATCACCACCATCGCGATTAGCATGCGGTTCAGCCGCGCCTTGCGCTTCAGGTCCTGCTCTTCGCGCTTCGACGAGCGCTGGCCAACGTGCTTCTTCGCCTGTCGGCTGAGTTTCAGCGACACGCGAATGTAGCAGAACGAGATGACGGTCAGCGGAATGACGAACTGCAAGGCGAAGCTGCAGATCGTGTAGATCTTCTGCGCCTGGTCGGGCCACTCCTCGTTGCATTGGTTGTCGGGCGTCAGCACCATGTGCAGGCCGATCGGCAGTGAGAAGCTGACGCTGACGCACCAGATGCAGAATATCACTAGCAAGCACGTGCACATTCGCATGCGAGGCTTGAACGGGTAGCAGATGACGATGTAACGGTCGAGGGCGATTGCAGTCAGCGTGAGCGTCGACACGAACACACCGACTCCGGACACCATCGGGACGACGTGGCAGAGCACGCGACCGAAGACCCACGAGCGCATGTAGCCGGAGAGCGGCGTGAAAGGCACCGAGAGTATGCACTGGCACATGTCCGAGATGGCCAGATTCGTGATGAAGATGTTCGTTACCGTCTGCATGTTCTGCTTGCGGTAGACGACGAAGCAGACGAGGAAGTTTCCCGAGGTGCCGACGAGAAAGATTACGGCGTACATGGCGCAGATGAAAGCCTTGAGCAGCGGATGCTCGAAGTACGTGCCGCCAAACGGACCGTCGGTGACCGACGCGTTGAGGTCGGTGCTGTTCGATTCGTTCATGTTGCAAAGGTGGCTCGTTCACGTCCGCAGCGTGGCATTCAATTATCACACCTGTCGGAGAGAGAAAAGGTCGTCATTGTCATGTGCAGGCGCATTATTGTAAAGAGCGGGGCATGGCGTGGACAACATGCATTTGAAATTTACGTTTATATGCTTCTCGTAACGAGTTTGTGAGGCAATATATAACTTAACTTTGTTCGGGAAAATTGATTAAATTATAAAGCAGTTTATGATTCTGAATGTTTGCAAGGAAAACTTTACTGGGGCTATTTACGTCTGCTAACTGAAGGAACGTCCGAGTTTTAAGATACTGCACGTTTTTAGTATTTTACATATTCTATCAGAGTGTCTTCTATATTAACGTCCGCTTCGCACGTAAAATAGATTATAGCACGACTCCGGCAGATAGCATTCACAGCATGATTTATTTATGATATCCGCTATTTTAACTGCTCATTATTGATGAGAAGTAACTATATAGCGCAGCTTTGAAAAACTCTTGGCATTTATTTAGGATGGCGTTGTCGCTAATTTATTTTCGACTTCAGAAGCTTACAACAAAAGTAAGATAACACAATACATACATTACAACCTCATGTTGTGTTACTCCTATCTTCGCGGACCTTCTTTATTAATTATTTATAGTACAAACACAACATGCACACACGCGCGCACGCGCGCACACACACGCACGCACACACACACACACGCCAAAAATATGTAGAAATAGTCTAATTAAGGTTAGTACGATGTGCATGGAGCGTTCTAGCCAATTTAGTAAGAGAAATGCCAAGGAAGTACTCCGACACATCATTAACGTGGTATCTATTCGTAAACAGGATACGTTGCTTATAGGTCGTCGCTTACACGATGACGTTAATAGGATATGCATCCGCGATCTTGTTATGATGTTTTAACATAAACGCGAGTGTCTCAGAACAATCGATCCCTGACCGGAGAGTTTGCTCGACCTTTGAAGCTATCTGGCAAACTGGATATTACGGCAGCGCGTGTATCGTGACTTATAGGGAGGTTAAGATTGCTGTCAAACTTAAAATGTGTGTCTGTAAATCTTAAACCTGAATTCATGCACTATATCAACATGTTCTGCTTGCATCTATGACAAATACGACATACGCATATATACGCTCTCCTATGACACTATTTGTCCTAGGAAGATTCTTCCTATGACAAATATTGGCGAGTCAACTTCGTTCCGCTTTACAGCTGAAATTCACTGCTTGCGTTCATAATAGCGCTCCTAAACTCCTATGATGCGCACAATACATACAACAATATTTGTCATAGGAAGTATCTTCCTATGACAAATAGTGTCATTGGAGAGCGTATATGCGCATGTCGTATTTGTCATAGATGCAAGCAGAACAGGCTGACTATATAGCACGGTACATTAATCTGTCCATGACTATTGCGCCGTGCTTCGCTAATACCAAGGTCATCGGTATCACCATCGCGGATGATGGTGCGGATATCATTGAACGTTAAATACCTTGATAGCATGAACATTACATGACCACGCAGACTCCGTATTTCTAAATACCCTTTTAGCAGAAAACAATTAGTTTAGTCACGGACAATGTCTACCTGCCAGCAGCTTGCAAAGGTAACACAACAAACACTTATTTGGGCTATGGTGAAAAGATTCCGTGCTTGCTGATAACTATTATACTAATTGGAAATATCCTATAATTGTAAGTAAAATTTCGCCCCCCCCCCATTGTTTGTCTCTTGCGAGACTCCTAGCACTTCCTTTATTATAGGTAAGGCTGCCGATACATCGATGGCAAGACAGTTTCTCCTCGTGGGATTATTACAGCGACGTTGCCAGATGCACGGGCAAGGAATGAACACTCGACCTATGCATCCGTACACACCGATGTCGAAGCAATAGCTGTTGCTTTCCTCATTTATCGAGAATGTAACAAGACGCGCTCGGGATAATCTTTGGTGCGAGATCAAATTTCCGGCGCCGATCCCTTCCTGAAAGATCTGCTTATCGCTAGACAGGTGGCACAATTGCTGGCTTTCGCGTCCTGTGACTGTGTATAACGCTGTATACCAGGACGCGTCCGCTCTGCGCGCGAGAGTGGAGGAAGAGAGACGTGAATACGCGAGAGACCTGCGTTAACGAGACGACCGATGCCTTTGAAGAGCTCATATCTGACACGGCGATTATATATCGTTGACCAGCCGTCGTCCCTGCTGGAGCAATAATTCGCCCGCGCTTCACCGATGCGTTACCACATGAGTGACTGAATCCGGGTTAATGATGCCAGGTGACGGTACACGGTTTGCACTACAAGTGTGCATAAAGTAGGCTCCGGTGTTAATAGCACGCAATGCAATACTACTATGCTAGCACACTGTAGCCGTATAGTGTTGCAAACTACATGATCTATGCTGCGCGACAACATATAGGTCATATGGGACATATATCAAACGATTGCAATACATTAGTCATATAAAAGTTGCGTACCGAGGTGAAAAGAAGTTATTTGAATGGCGAAAAACTCTTGCCCGTTTTTATGAAATAAACATCACATATATCACACCTTTCGCATATCATAAACTTACCATATAATATAACAGTACCAATCGTGTGCGTGCGCATGAGTGCGCGAGTTTGAGTACACGCGTGATTTCATTCATTCGTATATATACAGATGTGCGATCGCGTGTCTCCGTGTCAACGAGCGAGTCTACACCCTCCGCTCTCATCAACGTTGTGTGCCACGTGATTGATCGTGCGGTGAAGCTCAGGACGCCGCGGTTGCAGCGGATGCACCGCTAGTTTGACGCTGCAACCGCGCGCTACGCACCGTCAAATCGATACGCGTTCAAACCCCGCCGCCGTTCAACTCGCGGTCGGCGACAACGCAGCCTGCCATGCGCGGCAACACGGACGACAAAGCCGCGTCAATGCCGCATGCGCGTCGCGTCAACGCAGCGTTCCATGCGCGAACGCAGCCGACACCGCAGCGTCAATGCCGCGTGCGACTGGCGTCAACGCAGCATTCGAATCGCGAAGGTAGCCTGCCTGCAATTCGCCGACACTCGGCTTGAAGCGGTCTGTCTTCGTCCTAATGCGTGCATGCATGCAACACTGCGCCGCGAGGTGTTACTTGCCCACACAGCTATCTATAACCGACTAGGTGCTCTTAGAACAATCTTAAACAACACGTCGGAACTAGGTTCGAATCTACAAAACCCACACATGGGGTTAGAGTTTAATTGAGAGGGATAGCGATAGACTCGGGGCTAATGCAACTGATGGGTGTATGGTAACCTATACTGTGTGTATGGTAATGTCAATTTATGGTTAATGGTAACAAACGTTAAAGCCATATTTACGAGAATTGCTAGTGTTTTCCCTTACTTTTATGACCGTTTAATTAGCTACCGTTATTGCTTTAATAACAGCTACTGCCTAGGGTAACGATGAAATGTATTAGAACCTTCGTATTCACCCAAACATGCGAGTTCGATTACCTGCGAGCCTTTTCTTGTAATCATGTACTAGTTATATAGTAGGGCTACTAATGCCAGCTATCGTCCATAGACTTACACGTCTCTCGCAAAATCTCGGTTGCGCCGACAAATTACAAGTTGACACATTAAACAAATCTCGCGACTCGGTGTTATTTTCTTTGTGTTACGATGTGTTCATATCCAATTTTCTATGTTATAACTGCATAACATCTTGGTGTTTTTCAAGTTAGTGTAATCAGTGATATATCCGCTGTGAGGTGAGACTATGTTCTGCTTGAATCTATGACAAATACGACATACGCATATACGCTCTCCTATGACACTATTTGTCATAGGAAGATTCTTCCTATGACAAATACGACATACGCATATACGCTCTCCTATGACACTATTTGTCATAGGAAGATTCTTCCTATGACAAATATTGGCGAGTCAACTTCGTTCCGCTTTACAGCTGAAATTCACTGCTTGCATTCATAATAGCGCTCCTAAATTCCTATAATGCGCACAATACATACAACAATATTTGTCATATCATGAAGAATCTTCCTATGACAAATAGTGTCATAAGAGAGCGTGTATGCGTATGTCGTATTTGTCATAGATGCTAGCAGAACAGGCTGATATTTCGCTATATTTTTTTGGATTGAGCGTTTCTGAGCAAAAATCTCGTAATAAAATCGACAAGAACCGTGCATGCGTACGTGATGGCGCTCGTCTGCGCGTTTATGTTTACCTAACAGGAAATAGGACGAGATTATTATTAAATTTTACCACTGGATCCTATACTTGATAATCTGAACAACAAGAGCCAAAAATGGATATTTTGGCGATTATTTGATAGATAGCGTCAACAAAGCTAGGTAACCATGTGCTTCAGCTGTGCTCTATAAGATTCTCGTGATATGTTGACCCGCGAGTTGAAACTCACTCGCTGCCCCCATATTTACGCCTAAAAATCAGTCGCACAACCAATTACTTTGGGCAAAAATCTTAAAAGTCTCTAGTAAGCATCCACGGATCCTCAACTTCATGCATCTGATTCGCATACACATACTAGGCCACCGTAACTAGTGTAGCAATGACTCGCCGCATCAGCTTTTATATCCGATCTACAGGCCTCCGATTAGTCGGCGGACGACGCGTGACATCTTGTAAGCCCCAGGTTAACAAATTGGTAATGAATAATAGTGATTACGCGTCAGATAACATTATGCATAGTCTATCGTATAGCAATTTAACCCACTGCCATCTAATGGTGAACTATCCTCCATCGGCCTTCGTGGAAGACCTAATAGAGTTGTTATATGTTCCAGATAATTTCGTTTACGCCTCAATGCATTAATAATAAGGAGAAAACTCGGTTAATGTATAAAAATACACTTTGCTAGTCCTAAATAAATGCATAGATGGCGCGTATATGTACATTGTGGGGATTTAATGTTACAAGAAGTGGTGAAAGGCTGGATGATTAGGGACAATAGAAATAGAGATACCCGAAGAGTGTACAAGCAGACAACCTAAAGAGAACGCGAATAAGC